GACGCACAAAATGTTTTGGTTAAGTCTCAGACACTTCTTTAACAAAATTTGACTTTTGATAAGAGATTGTTAGTCTAGTTAAGTTTTAGAGATTTTAGCAATCAAACTTAATGGAAAATCCTTGTTTATTGAAATGTTGAACTGCAATTGATGAAATTTTGCCAACTAGAGAGATGAGGGTAATAAAAAAATCTAACATTAATTCACATACTAGAAAATAATGAAAATAACAAGTTTGGGGGTCTGTGAATTTTACGAGTGATGAAAGAACATATTTGACTATTGAGGGTTGAGAATTGAAACAACTTAAAAATTTATAATGTTATGCTTAATTTTTCACACACACGTCGATTTTACATTGGAAAACTGGATTTTAATTTTTGTATTGTGATTTTGAAGTTGTGCATAAATCTGTTATTATGATTTCAATCCTGAGATAAAACGCCAGTGAGCTAGCTAAATCTTGTTGCTTTTTACTTGATTGACTAGCCACCAATTAGGTAATTAGTATTGCTTGTTTGTATGTTTGTTAAGTTTTAATTTTGTTTGAAGATAAACAAATATTTAAGTTTGGGGGTGTAATAAGTGTAGTTTATATACTTATTCGATGCCCTAAATCATGATATTTTATTATTTTTTGGATAAAATTCTACATAATTTATGTTATATTGCATTTTGTAGATAAAACTTTATATTTTATGAAGAATTGTAGACAAGAATGCAAAAGTGGTGAAAAATAACAAAATCCAAAGATGAATTCCTTGGAGAGAAATTATATATTAAATGAGTTGGAGTTAACGGGTTTCAATAGACTTATATTGAAAATTTTAATTAGTGGCCCAAATTAAATCTATATATATANTTTTACGATACACATGCACGGTGGGGAAGCGCAGAAGAAGGCAGAAAAGGAAGAGAGAAAGAGAATAGAAAAGAAAAAAGTCAAAGGCGCAGACGAAGAGAAAAGGAAGAAAGAAAAAAAAAGAAAACTGTAAATACCAGAAATTTTCACGTTTGGTCAATTTTTGGTGATTTCTTTCCACTTTTTATTTTTACAATATGAATAACTAATTTTCGTATTAGGGAAAACAATACAGTCGACTTGTGACCCTTTATTTTTTTTATTCAAGATTTATTTATTTATTTGTTTGTTTTATTATGAGTTTAATGCATTAAATTACCTGATCAATAATTTGATGATTATGTAAATCTCTTACGAATCGAGAGGTGAGTTTGAGATTTAGACCATATAATAAAATTCGGTAAATTAGTAATTGTGTAGAGATACATATACTGATTATTGCGGTCATAATTTGAATTCTTAGAATAAGTGTTTCGTTTAACTAAAATTGATTTAAAAATGTTATTCATCCACAGTGGGAATGCATCCCCAATCTATGTGGATGTAAATAATTGGTTAAATGATGAGTGAAATTAAATGACTTATTTGATTTCACCTATCATTTAATGTCACATTAACGCTACATAGATTGGGGATGTATCCCCACTGGGGATGAATAGCATTTCTCAAATTGATTCGCATAAAGATATGGAATTTAATTAGTTAATTAGGCTCAATGAGAATTCGAGAAGGGTAAATTGAATACAATAGAAAAATTCAATCGAACACTATATTATGTTATGAATCTTGAATTAAGAATAAATGTGATTAATAGATGAAAATGTTATTCTCTAATATTCATCACATATTTGTTTATTCAATTTTCAATTGTTTACAATCCTTTTATATTTTCAATTAATCAAAAGTAGTTAGGAAAAATAATCACGATCATCATAAATATTTACTTGTTTTTGTCAAATAGGAGTTAAAATAAATTAGATTAAGTTCTAAGTATAATTCTCATGGGAAAGATAATTCGGACTCAAATGTCCACTATATTACTTGTTACGATATCGTACACTTGCGATATAAAAAACGCAACAAATTTTTGACGTCGTTGTCGATGACTATTTACTTTTAGTCTTAGGGCATGTCTATCGGAGATTTTCATCAAATTTTGAGTAATAATACAATTGTTAAAGTCAACAAGTGGGGGCCACCTTAGAGACGAGGAGTCAAATATGGTGACTGCTAAGCCTTAATTTATTTTATTTTTGACCGATGACAACCAATACCGTGTACGGCCCGCGTTTACTAATAATTTATTTCACTCTAAATTGTTTGGTCCCGCTTTTTCGCTCTCTCACCGTGTGGGGTTTTGGTGAATAAGGTGTGCGTGTGCGACTTTGGTGAATAGGGATGAATAGCACTCTTTCTTTGGTCCCGCTTTTTTTTTTTTTTCTACGGTCCCGCTACAGCTCATCAATTTCAAATTGATGTAGACCATGCTGTGAATGTAATGGGTGAAAAAGCATTATTGTTTTATTTTTGACTGATGACAAACAATACCGTGCACAGCCCGCGTTTACTAATAATTTATTTAACTCGAATTTTCACTATTTATTACTCTAATAATTTAGTAATTTATTACTAATAATCTCTCTACCGTTCTTCCTTTCGCTGAGGTATAGTTTTTCAATTTCCCTGCTAATTGATTATTCAATCTGTACTGATTTTTGATATATTCTTTGTAATATTTCTTGAATCTTGATTCCAGTTTCTGCGAGCCCTCCCAAAAGAAAATTAGAAAATACTGATGTGTCTTCCCTAAATTTGTTTAGGATATCTGATTAATCACTATACACCTTTGGGAGATTTGATTCTCTATTGGCCTTTTCCCCTATAAGTAGGCTACTTGTCGTACAGTTTCAAACACGCAGAAATAAAGCTTCATACCTTTACTTGTCGTGTTTAAGGTGTTTATTGTTATGTGCGTTTCTGCTAAATTTTCTTAACTCAGAATGTATAGGGGAGATATTGAATTAGAGGAAAGGAATAGCAGACCGAAAGGAAAGATCAATCCGAGAGGGTGCACAGAGGAGAGGTTAATGGTTGCAGAATAGGGGTGCTAAAAATCGTCTTATTATGCCTTTTTTTCTCAAACTTTGGGCTCTCGAGAGGCGATGATTGGCTGAAGACCCTCGTTAACTCTCTCGAATATGGAACCTTATGATAGTGTTTGGTTCCATCATAGTTAATTTTTGTACCTACAGCATTCGTGTAACTGTATAGTGCTTGCTAAAATATTGTTTCTACTTTACATGTATAGTGCTTGCTAAAATATTGTTTCTAGTTCAGTAACCAATGGGTTTGGTTGTTGACGGGATGAGTGGAAGAAAGGTTGCCTAACTCTCAGTTAGATACATTGAAATCCAACCTTTCACAACATTACAACAGCTTTTATAATGTTTATGTGTCTTCATACTAACCACCTCTTACTTTACATAATATGCACCTGTCCTTCACAATGCTCTAGGGGCGGGCGGGGTTCAACCTTTAATATGCATCTATCCTAGTACCCACATTTAGTGTCATGTCCTTTTGTTCTTGTCAAAGAAGTCGTTTGGTATGTACTTGTAAATTACTTGTCGCCGAGAATTTTCTCTGGGAGTGAAATTTGACTTTTGCTTTGATCTCTTGCAGGGCCAAAATTGTCCATAAAAGAAGAAATTAGTTGGCCAACGATCACATCCTTAATGACAAGTATTCTCTAATTCTTCACTGTTTCTCTCATTCTACTATTTTCATGACATTCGTTGATCACTTTAAATAACATTTATGCAACCGTCTATTAGTTACAATGTAAAACATCAGAAAATAAAAAATTCTGAAATAGTAAATAAACTGTAATTTTAGCTGATTGTTACGAACAAATCATTTCCAAGTTCGACTCGATTTACCATGTCTTCTTAAGCCAAGCTTTGCCTATATAATTTGTGGAAATCGTTTGTGCAAGTAGTGACATTCAGGGTGGATCTTGTTCCATATTCATTAAGAAATTTTAGTTGTTAGGCTAACAAGCATGATTACAGAATTTTACTTTCTTATTGCAGACGGTTGTGGACTGCCTCTGGAAGAAAGTGAACTTGTCTACGAAGTCATCAGAGATGTCTATGAATTCATCAGACCTGTCTATGAATTCATCAGACCTGTAAGACGTGGACCCTCAGTGAATGTCAATATTCGCTTCGCAAATGGACCCTCGGTGAACAGGGGCGGACCTAGAGGGTGGCCTGGGGGGGCAGGTAGGGGCGGACCTGGGGGGGCAGGTGCCCCCTCCACCCCTGATGCAGGAGGGTCCGAGTTAGATGCTGAGTTGTCAGATAACACGTTAATGGCTCTAAGGTATCATGAGTTGGCAGATCGGCGCAAGAATGGCAAGTGATCGTGTAACTTAGGCAATTAAGTCGTATTTTGGTAATTTGGCCATAACTTTGGCTAC